AAAAAAAAAAAAAAAAAAAAAAGACTTTCAACAAACTTAAGAAGTACATACTTTATATAGAAAAAAAATGAGGCTCAGATACCTGCACACACGTTTATTGCAGCAGTGTTTACAATAGCAAAAACATGGAACAGCTGTCTATCGAAACTAGACTGGATTTTTAAAAATCTGGTATATATATATGATGGACTATTATGCATCCATAAAGAACAATAAAATTATGAACTTTGCAGCAACTTCGACGGATTTAGAGACTATAAAACTCAGTGATTTATCACAGCAACAAAGAACTGAGTGCCATAAGTTCTCACTCATAAGCGGACCCTGAACATTTAGCATAACACTATAAGAAAGAGATTGGCAGCTCAAGCCTGTAATCCCAGCATTTCGGGAGGCTAGGGTGACCATGAGCATGCTACTGCACTCCAATCTGGGCAACGAAGTGAGGCTCTGACTCAAAGAAAAGGGGGCGGGGGGATTGGCAGTAGCCGTAAATTGCCGGGGAGTGGGAACACAAAACATTAATAAGGGTATCTGATCTCAAACCAGGCAGGGAAAGTGGGAACAAAAGGTAGATCCAAACTATCTGTATGATGACCACTTGTATACCTAACCCTGAATTTTACCCCACATCTTTAAAATAAAATAAAATTTTTTTTAAAAATGAGGTTCAAAGGTTCACACAAATCCACATAAGGATTTCTACTAGATACATTGCATAGATCCTGATATAACACATTGGTTATGGTCCTAGAGAAACACATACAAACACATATAGACATTAAACTAAGAAAGAATGAGAAAATACGTTTGCACTGATACATGTATTTTACTTTTTAATATGCCTTGCTTTTTTCACTTTCCCAAGATTATAAACTGCAGGCTAATGATATAACCTAGGATTAAGGATATTCACTCAACACAATCTACTGATAGAAGTTACAGTCATTTCCTCCAATTTCTTCTCACTTCTTAGAAAACAGCACAAAAATAATAAGAGTAGAGTGAGATTCTCTTCAGAAGATCTAAAATGAATCCCAGACAATGTGCATTAATAATTGAAAGCCTCCTTGGCCAAATGTAGTGACTCATACCTGTAATTCCAACATTTTGGCAGACCAAGGCAGGAGGATCTCTTGAGGTCAAGAGTTTGAGATCAGCCTGGGCAACATAATGGAACCATGTCTCTACAAAAAAGATTTTTTAAAATTAGCTGGACATGATGACAAGTGCCTATAGTCCCAGCTGCTCAGGAGGCTAAGGCAAGAAGATCACTTGAGTCCTGAAGTCCAAGGCTGCAGTGAACTATGATTGCACCACTGCATTCCAGCCTGGACAACAGAGTGAGACCCTGCCTAAAAATAAACAAAAATAAAAGTCTCCCAAACTCAGGGACCCTGATGCAAAACCAGAACTGGGAATCATTAAATTCAATTTCTTCTTCAGATCCCATACTGTAAAGAGATTAGCTGGGCTCGGTAGCTCAGCCTGTAATCCCACGCTTTGGGAGGCCGAGGTGAGTGGATTCCCTGAGTCCACGGGTTCAAGACCCGTCTGGGCAACTTGGTGAGACCTCATCTCTACAATAAATCAAAAAATTAGCCGGGCGTGGTAGCGCACACCTGTAGTTCCAGTTACTTGGAAGGCTGAGGCGGAAGGATCGCCAGAGCCCAGCAGGTCAATGCTGCGGTGGCCAGGAGCGGCCACTGCACTCCAGTCTGGGCGAGAGTGAGACTCCAACTCAAAAAAAAAAAAAAGAGATCATTTTAATTCTGACTCATAGGAGGGGCTCAGTATTTGTTGAATGTTAAAGGGGCTGCAGGTAAAATGATAGGTCACAAGCGACTGGGTAAAATGTTACGATAGGAGAATACCTTCTCATAATAGTCTCCAATTAAGGAAGATAAAAACGAACAAGATTAATCTGAGCTTTTAATGCTTTTGGTAAACAGAACTTTTAATTCATGTCTCATATAATAGAGTCACCCCAACTCCAGGGCAAAATTCAGAGGAATTTGGCAAAAAACCAAGTCTAAGTCAGGGAGTGAAAGAAGGCAATCACATCTAACAAACAATTCTGGTTTTTCATAAAAACTAGGACCAATTTAAGAAGCAGACAGTGTTAGAAATGCAATGAGTCTTCCAGACAGGAATTTTAAAAAGCCAAGAAAAAATGTCAAGAGAAATGTAAGAAATGCCATTCCTTGACTGAGCCATCCAGAAGTTGATGGTCTTGATTCTCAGTGAGCCTCTAGGAAAACAAATTTAGAAGCAAGAAGAACAGCTTCAACGAAAAGACCTGCCAAAGTGATGATTCTCAACTGAAACCTGTGTGGGGTAAAGAATCTCACCCCCAACCCTCCTCCTAGGAAGGAGGTACCTTGCACCTAAGCAACTCCATACCAGAAGACAGTGGTCACTGAGAGGGCCTGCTCACAGAGCGCTTGAGAAGTTGTCATTAGAGCCCACCTGGGTGCCAGAAACACGGGACCCAAAGGGGAAATGGATTTAAGAAATTTGAAAATGCTGGATGAGAAAGGAAGGTACCTCCAAGACCTGCTTGCGGCTACTAAATTAACACAAGACAGCAGCATTGTCTTAAATACCATGATCTAGAGACAAGACTAGATACAGGTAGCTGCTCCTCCAGATGGAATGAACACAGATCATAACTAATCTCTCAGTGGTCACTTCTCCCAACTGAGTTTGGATTCATAAGCTAGATACTGAATAACTGGAACAGAACTACTTGCATCCCAATGAAACAGAATCATGATGTTCTCAGCCCACTTAACCTTCCCTTAGATATTACCACGTTTTTGTTAGGATCGTTGACAACAGTTAAGGACTGGATTCTAGGAACAATTTTTGCCTAAATCTGCTAGGAGCTAGAGACTGGCTAGGAGCTAGAGATACAAGGTGATGATATGATCATCTTAACCATTTAGATGATCATATTATGATCACCTGTTAACTATTTAGATTATTTTTCCTGTTGTTGTTTTTGAGTCAGAATCTCACTGTCACCCAGGCTGGAGGGCAGTGTCACGCTCACAGTCGCTGCAGCCTCAACCTCATTTTCCCACCTCAGCCTTCCAAGTAGTTAGAACCACAGTCATGCATCACCATGCCCAGCTAATTTTTTTATTTATTGTAGAGTTAAGGGCTCACCAAGTTGCCCAGGCTGGTCTCAAACCCGTAGGCTCAGGCAATCCTCTCACCTCTGCCTCCCAAAGTTCTGGGATTACAGGCATGAGCCACTGCACCCAATGGCTGCTGTTGTTGTTAAATGAGGCTTTTAAGAGCCCTGGGATTGACTCTGGGTAGCACAGAGTTAGAGTTGGTTTTCACACTAAGCTACGTTCTCCAACAGCTCCGTCAGTTTTATTTACTTTTTAGAGGCAGGATCTTGCTTTGTTGCTCAGGTTGGAATGAAGTGGTTGATCACAGCTCACTGCAGTCTTGAACTCCTGGTCTTAAGCTATCATCCCATCTCAGCCTTCCAAAGTGCTGGGATTATAGGTGAGAGCCACCACACCCAGTCTCCATCAGTTACTAATTGACTATTTGGTCTCCATCTCCCTGCCATCCCTCTTTCTCTGTTGGTTCTGAATCAGGATTCAGGAAAAGGGTGTTATTTATTGGGTCTCCTCCTAAAACCACACATCTGCCCTCACTCTTATTATATAGGCTTGTTGTTGAGAGTGGTCAAAGCAATTCTAAAATCTAGAACTAAAGTCTTCATTGTGTGTGTATATAAGACAAAGAGGCTGGGCACCATAGCTCACATCTGTAATCTCAGCACTTTGAGAGGTGAGAGGATTGCCTGAGCAACTTGGTGAGATATCATCTTTACAATAAACTTTAAAAATTAGCTGAGTGTGGCGGCACATGCCTGTAGTCCCAGCTACTCAAGAGGCTGAGGCGTAAGGATTGCCTGAGCCCTGCAGGTCAAGGCTACAGTAGCCATGATCATACCATTGCACTCCAGCCTGTGCAACAGAGTGAGACTCTGACTAAACATAAAAAAGAAAAAGAAATTTTAAAAGACACAGAGACAACAATCAGTTAATGACCAGTTAATGACTGGTTCTAAAAACCAGTAAAGTCCCTATAGTCCAAAGGTATGTTAATGAAGATGGAAAACAAAATTGTACTTAGTGCATCTGGGAAATAAGACTGAAACTAGACAGATACAGTAATTCCAGCACTTTAGGAGGCAAAGCAGGAGACTCACTCGAGCCTAAGAGTTTGAGATCAGCGTAGGCAACATAGTATGAAAACTTGTCTGTACAAAAAAGTCAAAAAAATTAGCCAAGCATGGTGGCACACACCTGTAGTACCAGCTACTCAGGAGGCTGAGGCTGGAGGATCGACTGAACCCAAGTGGTTGAGGCTACAATGAGCCATGATAATGCCACTGCCCTCCAACCTGGGTGACTGAGACCCCTGACTCAACAGCAACAAAAAACTAACACCAGAAATCTCGCTAGTGTTACATGGTTAAGTTTACTTTCATCCTGTGAAAGCAGAAATGGGCATGTGCCTTCACCACCCAGACAAATAAGAAATGGACTTTCCTGAGGAAGACACCTGGGACAAACAAGCTGCCAGCACTGCAGACGCTCCTTCCCACATTCCAGGACTGTGAACCTGTGTATGCAGGTGGTGAAGCCTGCTAAATGAACAAGTTAAGTCTAAATCTATAAGTTATTGTTTTCACTCTTCTCAATCTTAGTGACTCACTCAAAAATTTTTTTTTATCACCCTCATTCAACCTGCCACCAGGTTTCTGGTCACACCTGCCACAACTGACCCCTCTCCATTCCATCTTCTCCACACACCACACTACATAACAGAAATACCCTCTTCCTTCCCCAGGTCTAATCTCCTGACCCTGGACTGCCTCAATGGACTCCAAAATAACCCACCCCCACCCTGCTGCCCAAATTCCTTAATGACATATTCAAGACATTATGACTTGGTTCCTTTGCTGCTGTTTGTACACCTGGTCTCCAGCCAAGGAACCTCCTTCACCAGCTTCCCTCTTAGCCACGATCCTTGGTGTTAGCAAATCGCTCCAAGCTCAAAAGTGGCTGACTCTGCCCTCGTAATGGAACGCACAAGTTCTTTGCCCTCCTCGTACTTTCTTTCTTTTCTTTTCTTTTTGAAGTCTCACTCTGTCGCCCAGGCTAGAGTGCAGTGGCACACTCACGGCCACCGCAGCGTCGACCTCCTGGGCTTAGGCGATCCTTCTGCCTCAGTCTTCCAAGTAGCTGGAACTACAGACGCACGTCACCACGAACGGTTAATTCTTGTGATGTACTGTAGAGTCGAGGTCTCACCCAGTTGCCCAGGCTGGTCTCGAACCCTCGGGCTCAAGCAATCCTCTCGTCTCGGCCTCCTACAGGCTGAGCCACCGCGCCCGGCCCCTCCTCATACTTCCAACAAATACTGGGCACCAACCACATGCCGGGCATCACTCTAGGGAAGGAAAGCGAGTCGGGCAAGATCCATGTCGGAGCTCCCGCTGGCAGGCACTGCCCCCTCCCACGCTGCCACCTTAACCCGCTCATCCCGTCCCGTCCCGGTTCAGCCTCCCACGTGGCGCAGCACCAGTACCCCGGCCTGGCAACCCCTCCCGCGGGAGCCCAAGCCAAGCCTCCGAGGGGCGGTTTCCACAAGCTGAGTACTGCCGCCAGGACGGCTTCAACCCTCGTCTGGTTCGAGGCAAGAACTAGAGAGAAAAGAGCCCTCGGCGAGCCGGCCCTCCTGTGGCAAGCTGCCCACGCCTTGGGCCGTGCCGGGCAGCGTGGCTGACCAACAAGATTCTCCACGCTCCGCTCCCCTCCGCGCGCCGCCTGCCGGCAGGTAGGCAACCATGCGAGGACCCCGAGAGGACTGCCCGGTCGAGCGCCTGAAGGACCCCGCGGGACTCGCGCAGGCCAACTAGCACAGTGCCTGTGGCCGGGCGCTGTGGCGGGAGGATCAGGTGAATCCGGACTCGGAGTCCGTCTCTTACAGGACTCTGAATAGCCCAGGATCTGGGGTGGGCTTAGGCCCGGGGCGAAGGGCGGGGCCCACGTGGCTGCAGGCCTAGAGAAGTTGGGGGCCAGGGGCGCCGATCCAGACTGAAGCCGTGAGCCTGGAGACTGAGGGCGTGGCCACAGGAGCGGGGCGCGGATGGAGTTGGCGCTTGGCATCCCGGCCGCGCGTCGGAGGGCACGCGGCTTGACCGCCGCCCTCGGGGAAGCCGAGCGGTGGTCCGCTCTGGTGTGGGAGGGGAAGCCGAGGGAGAAGTGTCTGGGCAACTTTTAAGTTTTTTAATTCTCTGATGGAGACACCTTTAAGTCGAGCATTTGTTGCCAGCGTTTGTAAATCAAGAGCCAAGGTAGCCATAACTTAGCTGCGTTAGGAAAGGAACCACGTCCTCTCTTTAGGCCGCGTCTCCTCCCTTGGAAGGCCTCTAGCAGCCCGGCCTTGATATAGCTGATATTCCTTGATTCGTTTAAATACGGTCTAGAACCAGCTGTGTGCTAAGTTGACCTTTTAGTGGGAAAGACGAAACTGAAGGAAACTTGAAAGGAGCTGTGAGAAAGTGTAACAGGGAAAGTGAGCTTGGATCTAGGAGGTAACATGGGAACCACATTCAGGACTGCGGAAACTACACACACAAAGGCTGTCAGGCCAGAAAGGCCCATGAGGCTGGGGCAGGAGAAACTTAAGGAGTGTGGAGTTCTAGATGAGGATAAAGGGGTACCAGGGACCACCAGATCATGCAAAGCCTGGTAGGCGACGATAAAGATTTTGGTTTTTACAAGCAGAACAAGGTACCCTTTAAAGGGTTAAGGAGGGGACTTATCTGATTAGATTTGCATTTTTGGTCCACTGGTTGCTGTGTGGAGACCAAATTGTAGCTGAGAGACTGGTGGAAAGGTTGTTACAAATGTCCAGAGTGGAATGATGGCATCTTGGACTGGGTTGGTAGCAGTTGGTAGAGAGAGAATTATATGGATTTTGAGATATATCAGAAGTGATATATATCAGAAATAAGACTATATAGGTTCATTTAGTAAATAAGATTGATTGAGAACCTTTTTTGGAATCTCTCTCTGTCACCCAGACTGGAGTGCAGTGGTACACTCACAGCCACTGCAGCTTCAATCTGCTGAGCTCAGGCTATGCCTCTGCCTCAGCCTTCCAAGTAGCTGGAACTACAGGCACGCGCTACCACACCCTGCTAATTTTTTTATTTATTGTAGCGATGAGGTCTTGCCAAGTTGCCCAGGCGGGTCTCGAATCCTGCGGGTTCAGGCAGTCCACTCACCTCAGCCTCCCAAGGCACAGGATTACAGGCTGAGTCACCAAGCCCAGCTGAGGCAGGTTATGTTTAAACTTGAATTTTTCTTGACTGGGTAACTCCCTCATGGGCTTGCAGTCACACAAACCAGATTATATGCTCCACAGGACAACTTGAATGTGCCCTTTACCACTCTTCCCTTAATCCCATGAACCCAAATGGGCAATTAAATAATGTAATACAACCTTAAGATGAAACTGTCAGGTACTGTATGGGTGTCAGGAGTGAGGGCATTAGCTGGATTGCAAAGCTATGTGACTGCAGAGAAGGGAAGGGTGAAAATGCAGTACTGATGGGTCTCTAATCCAATTCTCTAATGGCAGGTGTGAGATGACCTCAATCTTGCGAAGCTCTCAGGCTCTCCAGCTCACTCTAGCCCTGATCAAGCCTGATGCAGTCGCTCACCCACTGATTCTGGAGGTAAGAACAGATCTTAAGCCTCTACTATATCCTCTGGGCATTGGTACTGTATCAGATGCTGTAAGGTCACTTGTGACCAGTGACAACACAGTCTTGTGCTAGATGCTATGGAGGCAAAGCTAAAAGTCATAGACTCTGATCCTATGGAGACTAAACATCTATTGAAGACCTCGGACAGATCTAAAATATAAGAAAAAGATAAGAAAAGGCCCAATACAATAACACGAACCAATTCTCAAAACAATAAATATTTGTTTCTATTGCTACATAATAAATGACCACAAATGTGTGAGCTTTAAACATTTATTTCTTATTTCACAATTCTATGGTTTAGAGGTCTAGTAGGGTTGGCTGAGTTTTCTCCTTAGGGTCTCACAAGGCCAAAGTCAAGGTATCAGCTGACTAGGCCCTTATTCCAGGCTCAGGTTGTTGGCAGACTCAGTTCTTGTGATTATGGACTTGAGGTTCCCATTTCCTTGTTGACCTTCAGGCAGGAACTGCTTTCAATTTTGAGAGACCACTCACTCCTCAGCACACTTTGTCTTCAATGTTACATAAGAGATGGTGTATATCCAGCAGACTTTTTGGTATCCTGGTAATACCTCAATCCTTTTTTTTTTTTTTTTG